TTGCCGAGTTTTTAAAGCTCGGTATTTCCTGGAGATGGGTTGGCTTCGCCAGCTTGGCCGGTGGGATGCTGCAGGGGCTCGGACCGCCGGCTCCATCCAGCTCCCCCAGTTAATGGTTCGGGAGGTTCAGACCAGCCTGGGTTTGTACTGAATCCCCGCGGAGGAAGTTGTTCGTCTCGAAAACATAAGGTAAATCCCTCTGAAAATGGGTTTTTATTTACGGCAGCAGAGGCAGAAACCACCCCTCCGCCCAGCGCGTGGGCTAAATTTAGGTATGATGCACAGTGCTCACGTGGCCCCTTTATCCGCCAGTGTGGTAAATAAATAATAATGAAATAAATAGAAGAAGCTCCCTTTAATAAGTAAAACCCAGAGAAGGCGCGCACAGTTCAAACCCACGTGGCAAAGCAGCAGGAAAGAAAAAATCTGCGGCTTTCAGCGGGGGAACGATGCTCGTGGCGTCACCCGCAGTGGACCGGCGGCACCCCTGGTGTCACCCCCCGGCCTCGGGGACCATGGCTCTCCTGCCTCGCTCCCCGCCTCCCTGCCTCAGTTTCCCTCCCTGTAAGAAGATAATTGCCTCCTTTATTAATCCCTTTGAGATCTCCTGATGAAAGCTCTGGGTAAGAGGTTGGGCCCGCTTACTAAGCGCATTAAGTGCTTGCTATGATTATAATAGGGATTAATTTGGCTAGGTGGCTTATTTAGGTTTGCCTTTAACAGCCCAACTTGTAATCAAAGCGCTGCGAAGCCAGCAAGTTAATGCTGACCTGTAACATTTCACTTCCTGACTTCTCGATGTGCCATTAACCATAACTTGGCTTTTAATTAAAGCTTGTTTTCGTAGTCGTCGAAGAAACGGGGATGCGCTCGGCCCCGCGCGGCTGATTCATTGGAGGGTGTAACGAAGGAGGAGGCGCGGAGCTCGGGTCGTTCCGCTTTGCGGCGTTGCCATCCTCGGCTCTCTCTGCATCCCTGCACCCGGCCCCATCGCGAGGACACCGCCGTTCCTTTTTATTTTTGCAAGCTGTTGCATCGTTGAGTAAATACCCTCCGGTTCCCTCCGTGCTGCCGCCTGGGAAAATCAGATTTTCTCTCCTTTGCTTTAGTCGAAGGTGGTTTTGTTTGCAATATGTATTGCAAAGAAATATGCGTGTGTGTGTGTGTACATATATATATATATTTACTTTTTTTTATGTGCACTTAAAAGATTTTCCTCCAGCCAGCTCTTGGGACTCCCGTAGGGCTTCCCTGTTTCAGGGCTTTTTCTTCCCACTTTCTCCCCAGGTTTATCTTTCTTCAGCAAACTTACGTCTTCTGTCCTGAGCGCCGCTGGCCGGCAGGCACCCTTCCCGGCCCTCGATGTTTGACGGTCCTCTCCCCGTGATTTCACGCTTTGTGGGGACGCGCAGGCCCGACGGACCCAGTTGCA